TCTGGATTGAAAATTCTTTTATTTAAGGATGTTGAATATTGGCCCCCACTCTCTTCTGGCTTGGAGGGTTTTTGCTGAGAGATCTGCCATGAGTCTGATGGGCTTCCCTTTGTGAATAACCTGACCTGTCTCTCTGGCTGCCCTTAGCATTTTTTCCTTCATATCAACCCTGGTGAATCTGACAATTATGTGCCTTGGGGTTGATTTTCTCGAGGAATATCTCTGTGGTGATCTCTGTATTTCCTGTATTTTAATATTGCCCTGACTTGCTAGGTTAAGAAAGTTCTCCTGGATAACATCCTGAAGAGTGTTTTCCAACTTGGTTTCATTCTCCGCATCACTTTCAGGTACACCAATCAAACGTAGATTTGGTCTTTTCACATAATCTCATATTTCTTGGAGGCTTTGTTCATTTCTTTTCACTCTTTTTTCTATAATCTTGCCTTCTCACTTTATTTCATTGAGTTGATCTTCAATCTCTGATATCCTTTCTTCTGCTTGATCAATTCAGCTACTGAAAATTGTGTATGCTTCACAATGTTCTTGAGCTGTGTTTTTCAGCTCCATCATGTCATTTATGTTCTTCTCCATGCTGGTTATTCTCGATGGCATTTCATCTAATCTTTTCTCAACGTTCTTAGTTTCCTTGCATTGGATTTGAACATGTTCCTTTAGCTCAGAGAAGTTTGTTATTACCCACCTTCTGAAGCCTGCTTCTGTCAATTCATTACAAAAACACTCCTCAGCCAATATAAAAGAATGAAAATCATAAAAGTCTCTCATGCCACAGCGCAATCAAAATAGAACTCAGGATTAAGAAACTCACTCAAAACAGCACAACTACATGGAAACTAAACAACCTGCTCCTGAATGATTACTGGATAAATAATGAAATGAAGGCAGAAATAAAGATATTTTTCAAAACCAATGAGAATGAAGACACAATGTATCAGAATCTCTGGGACACATTTAAAGCAGTGTCTAGAGGGAAATTTATGGTGCTAAATGCCCACCTGAGAAGTGAGGAAAGATATAAAATCGACACCCTAATGAACTAAAGGAGCAAGATCAAACAAATTCAAAAGCTAGCAGGAGAAATAACTAAGATCAAAGCAGAACTGAAGGAGACAGCAACATAAAAAACCCTTCAAAAAAAAAAAAAATCCAGGAGTTGGCTTTTTGAAAAGATCAACAAAACAAATAGACCACTAGCCAGACTAACAGAAAAGAGAGAATATTCAAATAGATGCAATAAAAAATGATAAAGTGGATATCACCACAGATCCCACAGAAATACAAATTACCATCAGAGATTACTGCAAACACCTCTATGCAAATAAACCAGTAAATCTAGAAGGAATGAATAAATTCCTGGACACTACACCCTCCCAATACTAAACCAGGAAGAAGTTGAAACCCTGAATAGACCAATAACAAGGTCTGAAGTTGAGGCAGCAATTAATAACCTACCAACCAAAAAAAGGCCAGGACCAGATGGGTTCACAGCCGAATTCTACCAAAGGTACAAAGAGGAGCTGGTACCATTCCTTCTGAAACTATTCCAAATAATACAAAAAGAGGGAATTCTCCCTAACCCATTTTATGAGACCAACCATCATCCTCATAACAAAACCTGGCAGAGATGCAACTAAGAAAGAAAATTTCAGGCCAATATCCATGATCAACATTGATGCAAAGATCTTCAATAAAATATTGGCAAACCGATTCCAACAGCAGATCAAAAAGCTTATCCATCATGATCAAGTCGGCTTCATCCCAGGGATGCAAGGCTGGCTCTACATCCGCAAATCTATAAATGTAATCCATCACATAAACAGAATCAAAAAGACAAAAACCACATGATTATCTCAATAGATAGAAAGAAGGCTTTCGACAAAATTCGACAGCGCTTTATGCTAAAAATTCTCAATAAACTAGGTATCGATGGAACGTATCTCAAAATATTAAGAGCTATTTATGACAAACCCACAGCCAATATCATACTGAACTGGCAAAAACTGGAAGCATTCCCTTTGAAAACTGGCACAAGATAAGGATGACTTCTCTCTGCAATCCTATTCAACATAATGTTGGAAGTTCTGGCTAGGGCCATCAGGTAAGAGAAAGAAAGAAAGGCTATTTGAATAGGAAGAGAGGATGTCAAATTGTTCCACTCTGCAGATAACATGATTGTATACTTAGAAAACCCCATTGTCTCAGCCCAAAATCTCTTTAAGCTGATAAGCAACTTCAGCAAAGTCTCAGGATACAAAATCTATGTGCAAAAATTTCAAGCATTCCTATACACCAATAATAGACAGAGGGCCAAATCATGAGTGAACTCCCATTCACAATTGCTAAAAGGGGAAAAAATACCTAGGATTACAACTAGCAAGGGATGTGAAGGACGTCTTCAAGGAGAACTACAAATCACAGCTCAAGGAAATAAGAGAGGCCACAAACAGATGGAAAAACATTCCATGCTCATGGTTAGGAAGAATCAATACCATGAAAATGGCTCTACTGCCCAAAGTAATTTATAGATTCAATGCTTTCCCCATCAAGCTACCAGTGACTTTCTTCACAGAATTGGAAAAAACTTCATATGGAACAAAAAAAGAGCCTGCATAGCCAAGAATATCCTAAGGAAAAAAAAAAAAAAAACAAAGCTGGAAGCATCATGCTACCTGACTTCAAACTATATTACAAGGCTACAGTAATCAAAACAGCAAGGTACTGATACCAAAACAGAGATATAAACCAATGGAACATAACAGAGGCCTCAGAAAGAATGTCACACAACTATAACCATCTGATCTTTGACAAATCTGAAAAAAACAAGCAATAAGAAAAGGATTCCCTATTTAATAAATGGTGTTGGGAAAACTGGCTAGCCATATGTAGAAAGCTGAAACTGAAACCCTTCCTTACACCTTATATAAAAATTAACTCTAGATGGATTAAAGATTTAAACATGAGGCCCAACAGCATAAAAGCTCTAGAAGAAAACCTAGGCAATACCATTCAGGACATAGGCATGGGCAAAGACTTCATGACAAAAAAACCAAAAGCAATGGGAACAAAAGCCAAAATAGACAAAAGGGATCTAATTAAACTTATGAGCTTCTGCACAGCAAAAGAAATGATCAATAGAGTGAACCAGCAACCAACAGAATGGGAAAAAATTTTTGCAATCTACCCATCTGTCAAAGGGCTAATATCCAGAATGTCTTGAGAACTTAAACAAATGCACAAGACAAAAAACAAACAACCCCATCAAAAAATGGGCAAAGGATATGAACAGACACTTTTCAAAAGAAGACATTTATGCAGTCAACAAACATATGAAGAAAAAACTCATCATCACTGGTCATTAGAGAAATGCAAATCAAAACCACATTGAGATACCACCTCAAGCCAGTTAGTATAGTAATCATTAAAAAATCAGGAGACAACAGATGCTGGAGAGGATGTGGAGAAATAGGAACACTTTTACACTGTTGGTGGGAGTGTAAATTAGTTCAACTATTGTGGAACACAGTGTGGCAAATCCTCAAGGATCTAGAAATAGAAATACCATTTGACCCAGCAATCCCATTTACTGGGTTTATACCCAAAGGATTATAAATCATTCTATTATAAGGACACACGCGCATGTATGTTTATTGTGGCACTGTTCACAATAGCAAAGACTTGGAACTAACCCAAATGCCCCTCAATGATAGGCTGGATAAAGAAAACCTGGCATATATACACCATGGAATACTATGCAGCCATAAAAAAGGGTGAGTTCATGTCCTTTGCAGGGGCATGGATGAAACTGGAAACCATCATTCTCAGCAAACTGACACAAGAATGGAAAACCAAACAGTGCATGTTCTCACTCATAAGTGGGTGTTGAACAATGAGAATACAGGGACACAGGGAGGGGTGCATCACACACCGGGACCTGTGCGGTTGGGGGCTAGGGAAGGAATAGCAGGGGTGAGGGGACTGGAGAGGGATAGCATTAGGAGAAATATCTAATATAGATGACAGGGCAATGGATGCAGCAAACCACCATGGTACCTGTACACCTATGTTACAAACCTGCAGGATCTGCACATGTACCCCAGAACTTAAAGTATAATAAATAAATTTAAAAAAAGAAAATTATAGTCACTCTTTTGATTTAAACTATGCTATATATTTGCTTATTTTTGTTTCATTTTTAACTTCTGTGAAAATTGTTTTTATTCTACCAAAAAAAGTCTTACCCCTTAAGAGAAAGAATTTAGTGTCTTCGAATTACGGCATTTTTGCTTTTCCCAGTTGTGCTACCTGTTAAGAGTTTTTAATATTAACTTTATGGCTTATATTAGACAAAACTTAGACTCATTTATGTTAAATTCTTTTCCACATTTTGACCCTGGGAGGATGCATGTGACCATGTTCTCAATCAGAGTGACAACTTAATTATTTGTCTTTTTTTTTTTTTCTCTTTCTCCTTTTTTTTGTCATTTTGATCTGTAATAGTATCCTTGTTATGAAACTTTCTTTTGAATTAAAATTTATACATGTTCATTTTAACATGCCAAACACTACACAGACACATCAATACAAAGTTAATAGTTTTTTACAATCTCATTCTATCGACTCAGGGATAATTGTTAAGTTATATTTCCTCTCTTATTTTTCTGCAAACTCAAAAAAAAACAGCAACAAATAAAACAATGACCACACAGACCAGAGAGTGAGAGGAGGTTCCAAAGTGGCATGGTGCTACATATCTGGGGACACAGACTCAACCCACAGATTGGGTTACATTCATTCAACCAGGCAAGTAACAAGTGAAATGGGTAAGAAATGAATTCATAGAAGTGGTAAGAATTAGGACTCACTGTAGACTTCCCTCTGTCTAAATGTAGCAGTCACCATGAGGGAATGCAAAGCTAGTGTATCCAAATTTTTCATGTTTTGAAAAGACCAAAGAGCAAACAAACAAACAAAAAAAGGGGTGATTACGGAAGAAGCAGAAGTGTGGCGTGACCATGGGGAAGCAAAAGAAAACAAGGAAGTATGCGACCATGAAGCGAATGCTTAGTCTCAGAGATCAGAGGCTAAAAGAAAAGGATAGATTAAAACCTAAAAAGAAAGAAAAGAAGGATCCCAGCATGTTAAAGGAAAGAGAAGTTCCCCAACATCCTTCCTGCTTATTTTTCCAATATAATACACAGTTGGGCCCACCTTACCACATCCTTGTTGATACCAACTTTATCAACTTTTCCATAAAAGCCAAACTGGACTTGGTGCAGTCAATGATGGACTGTCTGTATGACAAGTGTACCCCTTGTGTAACTGATTGTGTAATGGCTGAAATTGAGAAATTGGGGCAGAAGTATCGAGTGGCTCTGAGGATTGCCAAGGATCCAAGATTTGAACGATTACCATGTACACACAAAGGAACCTATGCAGATGACTGCTTAGTACAGAGAGTAACTCAGCATAAGTGTTACATTGTGGCCACAGTTGACCGGGACCTTAAAAGAAGAATTCGTAAGATTCCTGGAGTTCCTATCATGTACATTTCTAACCATAGGTACAACATTGAACGGATGCCTGATGATTATGGAGCCCCTCGATTCTAATTCTTAGAAGACACAGTTCCTTTCTGCTTTTCTTCGACGAACTTTCTCTTGTTGCCAGTCCATTATACATGCAATAGCGTGAATTATTATTCTGTTGACCTATTTGCTCTATTGTGAGCTGAGAATGGTTAAATATGCTCACTCTTTTTTTTTTATTTTTTTTTTATTTATTTTTATTTTTTTTTTTTTTGAGATGAAGTTTCGCTCTTGTTGCCCAGGCTGGAGTGCAGTGGTGCAGTCTTGGCTCACTGCAACCCCTGCTTCCCGGGTTCAAACAATTCTCAGAATCGCTGCCTCAGCCTCGCGAATGGCTGGGATTGCAGGCACTTGCCACCGTGACCAGCTAATTTTTTTTTTTTATTTATTTTTTTTTTTTTGTATTTTTAGTAGAGACAAATACTTTCTTTTTTTCCTCAGGATGGAGTCTCGCTTTGTCACCCAGGCTGGAGTGCAGTGGCATGATCTTGGCTCCCCTGCAACCTCTACGTCCTGGGTTCGGTCAGTTCTCCTACCTCGGCCCGCCAGGTGGCTGGGATTACAGGCATCCACCACCATGCCCAGCTAACTTTTGTATTTTTAGTAACTTTTGTATTTTCAGTACAGAAAAATACACTTTGGCCTCCCAAAGTGCTGGGATTGGAGGCGTGGGCCACCGTGCCTGGCCTTCTCACTTTTTGATGCTGTTTTGAAATGGATATTTTGTCTCGTAAAAATTTTAGGCCAGGGGCGGTGGCTCGTGCCTGTAGTCCCAGCACTTTGGGAGGTCAAGGCGGGTGGATCACCTGAGGTCAGGAGTTCAAGACCAGCTTGGACAACATGGCAAAACCCCCATCTCTACTAAAAATGCAAAAAATAATTGGCCGGGTGTGGTGTCACGTGCCTGTGGTCCCAGCTGCTGGGTAGGCTGAGGTGGGAGAATCGCTTGGATCCGGGAGGTAGGGGGTGCAGTGAGCCGGGTTTGCGCCACTGCATTCCAGCCTGGGTGACAGAGTGGGACTGTCTCAAAAAAAAAAATAAAGAAAGAAAGAAAGAAAAATTAATGATTGTCAAAGGGTACAAAATCTCAGACAGGAAGAATATGTTTTATACTTTGAGTTCTGTTGTACAGTTTAATGCATATACTTTATTATACATTTTAAAATTGATGTTCTCATCACGGAAATATACTTGAGGTATTGGATATGTTAACTATTTAATTATTCCACATTATATCTACAATTTATAACATTACTTTGTAACCCATAAATTTATACAATTATAAATTGTCAGTTTACAGTAAAAAAGTAATTGCATCTCTTTAGAAATCAGATACTCTGATGATTGCTCACATAATTTGATGGCCATTGTTTTATACTGACTTACTCAATAAACATTTATTAAATGTATA